GGACTTAACTCAGCTCTCATCAACATCATTGGGAATTTTGTCTCTGACTTTAAGCAGGAGCAGAATGAGAACAATATATTTTCAAAAAACATTCCTGTATTTGTGGGTGGTGTTGGTTTTAAAATTTAAAGGGGTATGGAGCAGTTGCCATAACAGGAGAGACTACTAGGCCTCTAGTTAGGAAAGGAGAAGGCTGAAGGTGTATATGATCAAGGTCTATAAAATCATGAAGGGTGTGGAAAAAGTAAACAGGGAACTGTTGTTCACCAAGTCCCCAAATACTAGAACTAGGGGACACTGAAGTTAGCAGGAGACAGGTTAAAAATAACAAGATAAAGTACTTTTTTATACAAGATATAGTTAACTTGTATTACTCATTGCCCCAAGAGGTGGTGGAGATGCATAGCATAGCCAGGTTCAAAAAGGGATTAGAGAAATTCATAGATGATACAGCTATTAATAGCTGTTCATCACAATGGTTGGAGATGTTTCCTCTGGCATCTCTAAACCAATAAAGGTGGATACCAGGGAGGCTAATGAAAGAGGATAGATCACTCTAGGTATGATTCAGTGTTTTCCTTTTAAATCACCCACTCTTATTACTGATGGAGGCAGGATGTTGGGTTAGATCAGGGGTGGGCAATTATTTGAGCCTTGGGGCCATATAGGGAGTTTTGATGAGTTGTGCTGGGCTGGGACAGCACCCCCTGCCACAACAACTCACCAAAACTCCCTATGTGGAATGGGGCCACAGGTAGGCAGGGAGCAGTGTTTGGGAGTGAGATGGTTTGGTGAGACCCAGATCATGGGGTGAGGTTGCAGGGCAGTGACAGTGCAGGGCCGGGGTTTGGGCTCAGAACAGAACTGCAGTCTGCTCCCTGCACACACCTGCATTGTGTGTGTGGGGTGTGTGAGAGGGTATGGAAAGGTGTCAGGGCATGTATATATATATGTGTGTGTGTGTGTGTGTGTGTGTGTGTGTGTAGTGGGGCTGCCTAGGCGCTACGTTCTCAGAGCTGGCTAGGGGTGAGGGGAGAGAAGAAGGGGCAGGGGGCCTGTGCAATAGAGCTCTCCTGGGTGGTGTGGTCCATGGCTGCCCACACATAGAGTCAAGTTCCCTGCCCGCCCTGGCAGCCCTCATTACACTCCAGCCTGCACCCACTGGCCCTCATCTAGGCCAGTGTGCACAGCTTCTGGTGGAGCTGCAGCCACCTGGGTGGTGCTTGGCTCCCCTCACCTCCAGTGGCAGCTCCTCCTGCTGCGCTTCTTTGGATAGGGAGGAAGTTTCAGCTGGGCGGCTCCTACCCCAGTGCACAAGGCTCCAGCTCCAGGTCCCGGCTGCCTTCCACCCATTCCACCTGTCCAGAGTACCATGAGGGCAGCCACCGGTTGGAACCTATCAATTGGTAGGTGCCCCCCATGGGCTGGATCCAATCAGTTTAGAGGGCTGGATCCAGCTGCAGGCTGTATTTTGCCCACCTCAGGCTAGATGGACCATTTGTTTGGCCCAGTATAGACCTCCTTATGTTCTTATGTTCTTATTCTGAGGTGCCTTCCCAACTTTTCCTATCACCTCACGACTGCAGAAGTTATTGCAGTAGTGCTGTATCATTACTGAAACATACTGTAAACACACTGGGTACGTCTACATGAGATGTTTACTGCAGTTGCCTTATTAGCTCTGCCTGTAATAAAGTCTCAGTATCTACAGGCCACAGTAAACTCATAGTGGCTGCTGTAGGTTAGTATTTGGCAACACAAGTACTATCTTGAGGCGGTATTATTTACTCCACTGCGATGCATGTATAGACACTGCTGGAGCTGGCTGGGACATGAGGGTGCTACAACCCAGGGGCTGCCTGCTGGCTAGCCCCGCACGGAAGAACCCTCGTGCCCCAGCCAGCCCCTCTGCAGCACGCTGAGCCAAGTCAGAGCAGTCCAGACTGGCAGGCTGACTCTCTGGCCTTACCGCCAGCTGGGACTGCTTTGACTCTGCTCAATGTGCTACGGTCCTGGGTGCACATGTAAACACACTGCCTGGAAGCAATAAACTCTGGGGCAAACTGAGTCTGAGTTTATTTAGTCAAATTAATAGCATATATAGATGTGCACACTGTGTGCATGATTCACAATAGTATAAAATAAAGAAATGCTGAAGTACTGTTATGCTGAAGAAATATATAAGAGCACGTCTTCCTTGCATTTGCATCCCTACAATAATAGTGTAGCAGTTTCACTGTAGTAGTAATATTGTAGTAATAGATTATTGTAGTAACTCACTGCCTTTTCTGGACATCCAGTATAGCAAAGTTCAGCATTCTGAATATAAGGATGTACAGATGTAGTTACATCTCCTTGCCATTTCCTAATATGTCCCCAGACATCTTTAACTGTGCCCTCTTTGAGTGGTACTTCAATACACACATTACCACATTGTTTTTGCAATGTAATGAACAGAAGATACCTACACTTGCTCGACAGGCACATTCTTAGCTTACTTCACAGAAGAAACACTACATACAAATTGTTAAATATTTCAAGACAATGAACATGATCCCATCTGGCACTGCACTTGCACTACATCATCAGATCTACTGATCACCTCTCACTGCTCATAATCATTGTGGCAAGAATACTCTTTTGCCCCATTATTGACACAGCCTAAGCAATTTAGTTCTCAGATGAAGTGTGTTGGATCTCTTGAGGAACACATGCACCTCTTTTCTTTGATCCCATGAATAGGGGTCAGACAGAAAGAATGGCTTCTCCCTGAAAGGTGCCATCTTCCCAGATGGCCTCATCTAGAAATCACAGCTGTGCCAAGCTGCACTAACTAATCCTTTCACATTTCAGCATAGCTACACCAAACACAGAGAGTGCAGCTGAAGCACTTACAGCTAATTTCCAGTGGCAGCTCCAGGGAAGAAGAGTTCAGGGTCACACTCACGTAACCCTAAGTCTGCATTTCTTTTGTGTCAGTTTTTCTGAACTTGACTTTCTGGAAAGGCCCAGATACCACCAGGCAACATTAACTTTGTATTAATAATATGTTTGTATCACTGAATTTCTCATACATTTTTAATAAGTTGTGTTTCTGCAGGAACTGATTATTTTGCCTGTCATACTGTTTTGTGGTTGAGATACCTTCTATGGCTGGGTACTGCTAAAGGATACTGTGTAGTTCCTGTCTTGGTGCATTGGGGCTAGGGTTGTGCATTGAAAGCTTTGGTCCATATACAGAGCTGACAGAACTATACAGGCAGCCATGTAAGGAAGCAGATTATAGGGGGCAGCAAAAATGGCACTCTGGGCAGGCAGACAGCACATGTGCAATTGGCCATTTGCTCAATATAGCAAAAATCCTTGTGCCAGCCTTGTTCATACGCCAACCTCTTCCAAATGATTGTGACTTTAAGCATGTGAGACAAGTCAGGTGTGTCTATTTCCTTGTCCATCTCTTTTCACAAAATCCTGATATAGTTCTGATCACTATTTTCAGCTTACCCTCTCCTTCCCATCCTGTTCAAGTCAGCATGCTGTAGCTCTCTGCATCTGCATACATATATGACGGGCAGCAGCTTGCTGGAAGGTTGCTTAGTTCCTTGATTAAGTAGCATAAGCTCCGTTACCACCAGGCCACATTATGCCCCTTACTTAAGGTGGTTCCTTGCCCCTGCTTCAGTCAGGCCTCCTAGCCATGTCCTAGGCCTACTCCATTGTTCCTCTCAATCATTCTGGACCCCTTTCCTCCACGCTGGCCAGACACATCCCCAATCCCTGTTGGAATGACCTGTGCCTTAACCTTGTATTTCCTGGTTTTCAGAGGTTTACATTCTCTTGCCTTCAGCCCTTAAAGTCTTATACTCCTGTGGGTCCTGGCTCACACTAAGGGGAGGGAAGGAAGCTTAAGACTCCCAGAGATGGGTAAAGTTTCCTCAGCTATTAGCATCCGTTTGGGGGTGGGGGGTAAGCAGAGGGGCTCAAACTGCCCCTGGAGGGAGAGGATCCCCTCTAGGTTTTGACGTGTATATTGGAGGGGAGAATGGGGGACTGGCCAGGGTCCCCAACTTTACTCCCACTTTACTGACTCTGTACTCCGTATTCCCAGTGGTTCCCAGCCATTCTTACTGCCTCCCTTCCCCTTTCACCCATCTGCTTGTCCCCTGTTCATAGTTCTGCCCATTGCCACTGTCCCAGATGCTTTTCTGTTTCCCCTAGTAGCCACTATTTGCACACATTTATTTTACTTTCAAGAATTGCTTAATTACTTCCTAATTTTTCTGTTTTAGACATCTTACATTTCTTTGTTCTCTCTCTCCCCCCCAAAAAGAAAATTAACAGAAGAGTATATCAACATGCCTACATTTAATTTTCAGATTCCTACCCAAGGTGTGTTGTGTATTTACAGATTTTAATGATTAGAACATGTACCTTGAGCAACCTGTGCCATGTGAAAACTGACCAGCTAATGGCCTTCTTGCATAATCTGTCAGCATAGGCTCACCATAAACCATTTGGCACATACCTATAGAGATTAACTCTTTATGGAATACTGTGTTCAGTCATGTTTTCTCAAATGCTACCGGTTGCCACATACTAGCTGGGGCAAAGGTGGCGTGACGGACACTTGGGGACCCAATTCCCATGTATGCACAAAAGCAGACTGGTAGAATCAGTCAAACTTAAATGCAGTTATGATGAAGGCTGTACCTCACAAATACCTGGTTCAGATAAATCTAAATTTGGAGCTCTAAACTGTATCCTTCACCTTTGAGAGCTCCCTTCACCTACCCTCCACCACCTCTCCCATCAAATTTTAAGGCAATCCAGCTAAACATGGGAATTTTAGAAGAATCAACCCCCATTGCAACAAACAAAAAGATGCTCAGCTATAATTAGCTGCTCCTGGTCTGTGAGTTACAATGTGTTTTAATATTACAAAACCTTGTAGTTGAACTTTCCATTTTGAAATACATTATTTTTTCTCTCTTCTGTTTCAGAATAAGAGCCAAGGATTGACCTTTGTCCGGATACATGCTCCTTGGCATGTGCTTAGTCGAGAAGCAGAACTTCTTAAAATTAAAATGCCCACTAAAAAGGTAAGCACCTTGCCTCTTCTGTGTGCTAGCTGTGTTACATGGAGGTAAGCATTATGGGCCTGACTTCTCTTTCACTTCTGAAGCTTCTCCACAACACTCACATCAAGGTCCTGAGGCTTCTCCACAACCAAATGACTGCGCCTGTGGATCAGAGACAGATCCATTTGTCATCTTAACAGTAACCAGAGTCAAGCAAGGGTGCATCATTGCCCCAACTCTGTTTTTCATTTTTTTGACAGTCATCTTGGTTCTTATTAAGGACCACCTTCGTTGTGGAATTGACATTGAATGCCAGACAGATGGATGGCTCTTACATCTGGGATGTTTTCGCTCAAAGACCAAAGTATTTAAGACAACCAGCCTTGACCTTGAATTCACTCACAATTGCGCCATCTTTGTGCATGCTGAGGAAAACCTCCAGATGGTGCTGGATCTCTTTGGAGAAGCCTACCAAACTTTAGTCTTCTTGATGTTGAGAGAAAGGCCCAAAGTGCTCAATTGCCCTGGGCCATGAGTGTAACTCTCCCTGCCCTCCAATTACCTTTGAGAGAGAGACCCTAGAGGGGTCTTTCCCCCTTCCTGCCACCTCAGAGAGTGAACATTGATGAAGTAATTCAGCCTAGGATCTGGTACTCAAGTGCCTCTTTTGGGAAACTGCTTTGATGTGACTTTACAGTCCCTGGAGTTTCTACAATACAATCATCATCATCTTCCCCATTCTCCTCTATGAATGTGAAATGTAAGTGACCTATTGTTGTCATCTTAAGATCCTGGAGAAGTATCAACAGTGATGACTCTCCACATCAGATGAGAAGATCATTACAAATACCAGCATCCTTGCTGAATCCAGTGTTACCAGCATTGAGTCAGTGATCCTCAAGCACCAACTTTACTGGACTGGACTTTGTGTGCAGATGCCTGACTCTCAACTCACAAAACAAATGCTCTGCTCCCAGTTTAGTAATGGCCTGAGATGTCACGGTGGTCAGAGGAAATGCTACAAGGACACTTTGAAGGCATATCTTAAGAAACAAGATGCCAACATCTGCAGCTGGGAGGAGCTGGCTGTCAGCCAACTCCAATGGTTCTGCAACCTCAACCAAACAGCAGCCTATTTCAAAGTAAAACATCTTGTATTTGAAGTAGAGAAGAGAAAGCAGAAGAAGGAAAGAAAGAGGAATCCAAGCCTGTAGCCTACTCTCCCCTGTGGACAGATCTGCAACTTCTGTGGATGGGCCTGTGGGTCAAGGATTAGACTCTGAAGTCACCTCAAGACCCATCAGTGAGCCATGGCAGAGAAAATCTTCAAATCAATGGTTTGCCAATGATAACCATGGTGTATAACCAGTATGAGTGAGAGATTACACTTTTTGTTTAACTTTATTAAATATTTTAATATGATTTCATAGTTATGGTTGGATTTTAAATTGAGATTTTTCATTGACTTCTGATGGAAATGGGCTACTAATCACTTGGGTGTCTTTGAAAATCCCATCTTAAGCTGTTAAGTAATCTCTTTTTTTAACTCTCTGGTCAAGGTGTTTCACAAGAAGCTCAGTTAAGCCCCAGAACCATTGCTGTTCATTTATAGTTGTTAAGTATTGGTACTGTACTAGTATTGAAAAATTCGTATTGGGGCCCTATTATGCTGGATAACTGTGCAAAGATAGAGAAGAGTTCAGTGCTTGCAGAGAAAGTCTGAATATTCCTGAGACTACATTTTCAAAGGGAGACCTCTCAAGTTGCTGGTGTATACCTTGTGAGATTTGTAAAAACGCCTCTGTGTTTGACTCCCATTGACATCAGTTGGGCTTCACCCATACCTAAACTCAGTGGCTGCATGAAGGCGAGCATGGATGTGCAGCATGTGGCACTGCAGACTCATCTGCGGTGCCACATACTGTGCATGCAGGCATTCCCTGGGGTTTTCTTGACCCTGGGAGCATGTGGTGCCCAAAACTGGAGCCTGGTCAACTGGACCCACACTCTGGCTGCCAGCCAGGCTCCCTGATGCAGAAGCACTGTGGCTGCAGCTTCCCAAGGCCTCCAGGATGGCAGACAAGGCTGCTGGGGCCAGTATAGGCCCCAGCCTCCCTTACCCCACCCAGGGTAACTTGCATGGCACAGGCATTCACCAGGGAAAAGTAGCAGTGGCACAAGGTGTACTGCTGCTACTTGTCCTTGGGGAAACGCGTGTTCCTGCTTGTGGTGATGCACCCAATAAGTTTAACCTTAGGTGGCTAGAACACTCCTTCGGGGTCAAGATAAAACAACTTCACCTCAGTGCCTTGACTGAAAAATGTGTCTTTATTTTTTAGTCTAGATGAGGCCAAGCAAATGGCGTGTGGGGGATGCAGGCTAATGCACAAGAAAATGTGAGCCTGGCAAATAATTGGCAGCTGCATGTATTTTTTTTTCTTTAATGTGGTGCCAGAAGTAGGGAATAGGATGAGAGGGTGAAGAGGAACAGTCACTCTCTAGCCATGGTCAGCAGGCTAGGGTTTTTAGGGCTGATAACAGAGGTGAGTTTTAGGAATATTTGAAGAAAGATAAAATAGTTGCTATGATGGAATTTTATGAGTTTTTTCAGGCTTGGGGTGCAACGTGGGGAAGTCCCTGGCTGTGCATAAAAGAAGAAGATTGTGAACAGTAAAGACAGGGAAGACTGACAAAAATATTGCTTTCAGTGACCTTGAGTGACTTCAGATTGGCTTTAATGGGTTTGAAACTTTGACACGCTGTCTTCTTTTCCGCTTTGGTATCTGAGAAAATTCAGGGCCTTCTCCCCACC